AGGCATAGTCAGAGCTGTCCTCTGAAGCAAGTGGGATCTGAATGCTGAGCCAGGATTTCATTTCTGGCTGTCGAGACTTGCAGGGGGCACAGGATAAGGGCAAGAATCACCAGCACCTGCGACAGCAGCTGTCAGGGGATGGACAGAGAGCTACAGTTTCTGGCCCCTGTGGACAGTGTTAGGACTGATGGCCAATGGCAAGGTCTGGTTGTGCCCCACAGATGCCTGTCACAGAGCTGGACTGCCCCCTCCACCCTTGCAGGGCATGGGTTTGTGCAGAGGCAAAGCAGCAGCCTTGTTGGTACAGTCCGGAAGTGCCTACCAGCGGCACCATCAGGTGTCTGTAGGGACGGGCAGCCTGGCACTGGCACTGTGCAGGGAGCCAGAGTCAAGTTGGTTAGACACATGTATTTGCAACATCAAACCATGGCTTTGGCATCAGTGCATACTCAGCCAGAGGGCTGTGCTCTGGGATGAGACACTGGCTTGCTGCCAGAGACCCCGGGGACAGGACTAACGTATCTGTTGAGAGATGTTTACTTTTGCCATTATTTTCTCCCGTCCAAGCAGGCTAACGTGACTCAGTTTTCTCAGCGTCTTTCCAACTTTCAAAGTTAGCTGCCTGGCAAAGACAACTTCCCAGGAGTGCTGTAAAAGCAGACCCCTCCTTCCCACCATGCCATGTGATCCTCTCTCACCCCAGTGCCCTCCGGTCAGCGGAAGCAAAGTCGCTCCCAGGGATTTTGCTGCAGTTTTGTCACAGCTGCCAGTTGGACTTGGTTAGTGGCTGGAGCTATCCAGTTGTGCAGACAAAAGGCAGGCAACATACAGGGACCCAGCAGCTGTGGTGATACAGATCAGGAGACTCAGCAAGGAGTGGAAGATGAAGATACACTCCTTGCTAAACACCTGCCAGGGTTCTTGCACTTGACCCCACAAGTATGGGCCCATAGAGGCTGCTGTAGGAGTGAACCCAGTGGCTGCAGATTGAAGAGGCAGTCAGCAGGAGAGACTGTAATAAGTAGGTTCATGCCCTCCCATCTCATTCCTAGGAATTGAGGGGTTTTAGCCCTCATTTTTTTGCTTTTTGAGGGCTAGTCTGTATTTACTCCATTAGCCAGCTACAGAACCCCCATAAAAACTGGCCTCAGAATTAGGAATTTAAGCATGGAGAGGAAAGGAAAGTCTCTAATACTTACTTACACACTTGGTTAGGTGGCTGAGTAACCTGGTCTTCTCATACAGTCCCCTGAGGCATGTGGCTTCTCCAGAGAGCAGTTCAGTGTCCCTGAGAGGAGTTTCTGAAGTTGGGAGACGTGAGTGGCCATGCTGGGGCCACTGCTTTCTGCAAAGCCTGAAGTGGAGAGCTGTCGTGCCAAAGACTTTTATTTATTTGGTTGCCATGGTGCATAGCTAACACTATATTGTCTGGCTTCATAGCAAGGGGTGGTGCCACAGCTCGAGGCACTTTTGCCTGGCTTCATCTGCTAGAGCCTCATGTGATACTAATTTCCACACTGTTGGTTGTCAGCAGCCTGCCAGGTATGTGTCTTGCCTTTACAGTCACGTAGCAGCAACAGCAGCAGCTTTGATTTTTCACTTGGCTCCTAATCCCCTGGGAGCATACAGGCCCACTGGATTGACCAGCAGTTTGCATGACTCGGATGAAGAAATGTATGGGGCTTCCTTTGGTTAAGAATTTGTGGAAAAAACAGCCCGGATGACCAGGCTATTCTTTTTGTCTCATCTATTGTGCCTTCTGGAGTCACTCAGTTTTAATTTTTGTTGGGTCAGTAGATTTGAGCCAAGCTTTCTGGCTGTGCCAAGAGATCTGTAGTCTGAAGGATTATATGGCAGATAATGTGTGGCTGATAAAAGGTGCCATTTTGTCAGATTAAGTTTGGTGGGTCAGTGGTGAGCTATAGTGTTATTTCCTTTAGAGACCAAGTGGAGATTAAAACTACTATTCAAAGGCCACACGTCTGAGAGAGAGGCACCTTATTGCCTTCTGTGATACCTGGGGTCTCAACCCTGCTCGTGCTGCAGCCAGCCACTTTAATGTGTTCTTGGTGGTCAGCAGCACTGGTGAAAGCTGACAGATGGACAAGTCATGTGCTGGATGCCACCAGGAAGGCCGTCTTGCAGGTGAGTAGGCTATAATCACTGTTGCTTTTCAAGAGTGATGATGGTTCTCTGGAAGGGTTGTTTTGCTGGGACATCAGAGCAATGGTGGCCTCTTTTAGTCAGCACTGGCAAAGGTCAGCTCTCCAGTCAGCTTTTCACAGTGATGGAGGACCTCTGTAAGTCAGCTCTTCTTCTCCAATAGACTAGGTCTGTAGGATGAGTGGTTGTCGGTGGCTTATGCGGCGTTTCCCAGGAGATGCTTTGATTCTGCACTGCCTGTGCTTGCAGATTTTGCTCTGCCAGGGGATGCACGTAGGGTCCATGCTACTGTTAATCAATCACTGGCAGAAGTCTGCTCCTCAAAGATGTGGTTTGTCTGTCTGCTCATGATTAGATTCTCAGGGTTAGAAGTCATAGAATCAAAGAATGGTTTGGGTTGGAAGGGTCCTTACAGATCATCTAGTTCCAATCCACTTGCATGGAGAGGGACACCTCCCACTAGACCATGTTGCTCAAATCCTGATCCAGCCTGATCTTGAACACTTCAAGGCATGGCAGCTGGGATGGGCTGCTTATGTGGTTGTGACCTTTGTGCTTCACAGTTGGCTTAATGACTGGGATGTTGTTTTGGACCCTCACGTACTCCTGTGCCCAGGTCCACTGGCATCCAGTCAGGTTTGCTCTTTGGTTTGGAAATTAACTGGACACTCCAGCCTCTTGTCTTCCTGTAGTGATACAGAATGCAAAAGGCTTTCCAAAAACTTGCTCAGAAAACACAAGGCAATGGTTATACAGGACTGGCTCCTTTTTTTTTTTTTTTTTCCTCCACAATCTGTTAGTCATAATCCCAAACCAGCCTTCTCATGGAGACAGGTAGAAGGCCAATGAAGTCAAGTGGCTGAGAGGACATGAAGTATGTGCATTGATGGTGGTACCTCTGTCCAGAGATCATGATTAACTGCTTGTGAAACCTGGTGCAAAGGAATTGTGAAAGATGGAAAATCTGCCCTGAAATGGCTTGGAAGGATATCAACAAGATGACCCAGCTCTGACTTCAGTGTTCCCAATACTAGACATGTCATAAGCCTCATGGTCCAAAAGCAGGAGCGGTGGGTCCTCTGCTGTGGCACTGCCTGACTTCCTCCCAAGGAGGCTGTCTCAGTTGTATGACTGAGCTTTCTCCCAGGGCAGCAAGGGGGATGTGGATTGCCCTCTCTGCTGGGAAATGGAGATTAAGTACTGGGGCAGATTTCACAGAGCTTGTCTGTACATGGAGATACCCTGTGGGGGATTCTCAGTCAGGCCTGGTCAATGCTTGAAGCTGCCAGGCTGGCTGTGCTTTTGGCCAGTCGTCAAAGCCCAGGAAATCATGCTGAAGCAAGTGGTAGTTTTGCTCCTGTCTGGTATCTCAACGGGCCAGCAGCTAACACTAGCAAAGGAGAATGGGGCTGTCTGTGATTTAATCTGGCTTGTCGTTGGCACACAGGCATGCAGGAAGCTGCCAGCATCTCCATAGCACGTTGGGAGGTGCATTTTGGCTCTGCTTGCCTGAGGTTGTGGTTCTCTTCAACAGGCTTCTGCTCGGACTCCCACATCAAGTACCTTTGACCTTCAGATGAAATTTGTGTGTGGCCAGTGCTGGAGGAATGGGCAGTTGGTGGAGCCAGATAAAGACCTCAAGTACTGTAGTGCCAAAGCCCGCCACTGGTGAGCAATGCAACCTTCTCTTTCCCCCACCCCTCCTCAAGGGCAGGAATTTCTCTTACCTTCTCCAGGGCTCCATTTGGCCTCTTTGGAAGAGGCTGTAAGGTTTCCTAGCAGCCTCTCACTCCTCGGGGTGTTTGTCACTATAGCAAGCATTGCAGATAGCTGTTTTCCAGTTTCCAGCTCTCTTCTCTACTCTTTGCTGCCAGGACTGTGCAGACTGTTACTCCTGGTGCATTCAGTCCAGCTCCCACAGTTCCCTTTTTTCCACATTTGCTACAATTTCTTCTTAGAAATATAGAATATAGTTCTCCTCTGCACTATTAGCAAAGATTCGAGGTATTCTGCTTCCTTTTAGATTTGTTTCCTTGGCTCTTTCATTGCTTGGGTTGCTCTTTTCTGATGTGTGTCTTGTCTGTGTGCACCTTCTGGCTCCCTGGAGCCTGTGAGGATGTTTGGTTTGACAAAATCATAGAATCATAGAATGGTTTGTGTTGGAAGGGACCTTTTAAGGTCATCTATTCCAGCCCCCTGCAATGACCAGGGACATCTTCAACTAGGTCAGGTTGCTCAGAGCCCTCTCCAGACTGACCTTGAATGGTTCCAGGGATGGGGCATCTACCATCCCTCTGGGTTGTTTCAGTGTATCAACATGCTCATTGTAAAAAAATTATTCCTTATGTTTAGTCTGAATCTACCCTCTTTTAATTTAAAACTGTTATCCCTTGTCCTATTGCCATGGGCCCTACTTGTCCCCATCTTTCTTGAAGAGCAATACAAGCTGGGAAGTCACCACTGGGTCATGGAAACTGTGGCCCATCTCACTCAGGCAGCCTGGCAGGATGGGATGGGAGGGTTTATAGGACTTGACTTCTGATAACACAAGCTGCAAAGGCACAGTCCAGCATCCTATTGCAAATGTAAGACTTTTGTTGAAGAACAGACAGAAGCAGCAGTTGCTGGAGGCAGTGAGCAGATGAGGATTGCTTCCTGGAATGGGAAGGATAACACCTCCTAGTGCAGCTGCTGAACAGACCTAGGAGTTTTGTCCAGGGTATCTCCTGGTAATCGCTTGCTGGAGCTGCAGAAGAATTAATACTTCCTGGCATCTGTTCATAAGACAGTGCTTGTAATGACTTGCATTTCTGCTGCACCTTTCAAGCAGAAAATATTCCCAAATGTGTTTCAGGGATCTAATTGTACAAGAATTGACTGTGTTGAAGGGTGGAATGCAGCTGTTCAGTAATCCTCGGTGATGCTGTGTGAGACTTGGGAGAGACTTCTTTGGCTTTATGAGAAGAGTTACCCCAGGAAATATGTATAAGTACAGGGAGAAATCTTACTTAAACACACTTCTTGTGGCCTCTCTGTCACAGATGTGCATATCTAGAAGCAGTTGGATAGTGCAGGGACAAGCTGGACAGGAGGATCTGGTCAACTCTCGATATTTAAGGGTTTCTGAGGAAAACAAAACCTTGTTCTGCACTTCCTTTTGCCTGTCTTGATTTATTCTCTCTTCTTCAGTTGGACAAAGGAACGTCGCGTCCTGCTGGTGATGTCCAAAGCGAAGAAGAAGTGGGTGTCTGTCCGGCCACTGCCTTCCATCCGCAACTTCCCACAGCAGTATGATGTAAGCTCCGTGCTTGACACGGCCAGGTGCCCCTTCCATCCCACCATGATGCAGTGCTTTGAGGGCTAGTCCCTTCTAGACATGGCAGGGAGGCAGGCACAAGTTGGCTGAGGAGGAAGGCAAGGACAGACTGATGGCAACATGTTAAGCAAAAGGATGGACCAGGAAAAGGAGGAGCACCTGTTTAAATTACTCTACACATGTATGCAGGTTTCTGATGTTGCTGTTAATGCAGTCACCATCTCAAGAAGTGGCTGGCACAGGGTTTGGAAGTGAAATTTAAGTCTCCCCTTACGCCAGGGTTTCTCAATGTGGGTGAGAGGCGAGATGGAACACTTGGGAGATGCCCATCCCTGGCTTTGCTGTGGCTGTGCTGCTGTAGATTGTCAAACTTGCTCACAATGTGTTTTGAAAGCAAAACTACTCAGCTAAAAGCCACGTGCTATGATGAAAACTACAGATATGCAACCCCAAACCCCAGCCCTGAAATGGTGATTGATAGTTTGTCTTTCCCTTTCCTTCCTTCCTGAAAGGAGAAAGATCCTCTACCCCTTCCTTTTGGGATCTGCTGCCCCTTAGTCCATGGGCAGGCACAAGGCCACAAGTAAGAACTTGAGCAGGCCAGTTGCTCCAGTTTAAGTGGGGCAGCAAGAGGTATTTACAGCTGCTGCAGTACGAGACAAAGGGAGCAGGTGAGTTGCAGCTCGTGCAGCAAAGCAGTTTGCCATACAAGTGTGTGCATTGCGTGAGCTCCCACCCAGCCCCAGCCAGAGAAGAACAGCATTGTCTCTTGCCCCCAGTGTGTATGGGCCAGCTGGTCTCCACGCTGCTGTCCTCCTCTGGTGACAGGACCAGGGAGAAGGGACCATCAGTAAATATGAGGCTTGAAAAACTTCTCATTCTCTCTGGCAGTGACACTGTTGGTAGCTGTAAAGTTGTGTGCTAGTGCAGTCAAACCCACCCATAAGGCTACTCTTCACTCTCTTGGAGATGGCTGGAGAATGAGTCACCTCTGGGGACGAGCAGCTTGACCAGCAGGAGACACTGTTGAGTCGGTTCAGGTTGCTCCATGCTGTCTTGCCCAGGGCCCACTATGCACACCTGCACTGGGTTGCCGATGGAAATGACAAGAGAGGGATCAGATGCTGGACTGAGGTGCCTGCATCTTTCTAGGGAAAACCTAACCTAGACATCATCAAGAGCTTGAGGAAAAGAAGCATGGAGTTAATGACATATTAAATGTCCTGTGTGTTACCTCTCCTGTGTGCAATTTGATGCCCCAGCTGGTTTTTTGAATCCACTTTCCCCTCTAGTAAGGAGTGTTTGTGCAGATGCTAAATTTTGCTCTTTGTCTTTTAACAGTTGTGTATCCATGCACAAAATGGCAGGAAATGCCAGTATGTGGGCAACTGCTCCTTTGCCCACAGCCCCGAGGAGAGAGACATGTGGACCTTCATGAAGGAAAATAAAAGTGAGTGGGGGAAACATGGGCCAGAGAGTCTGGGGAGAGGGAAGAGGACGTTTGGGCAGTGGATTCAGGGTCTGTAAAGACGTAGTCTTGACAACAGAGAATGAAGTTGGATAGAGCTGGTTCCATGAACTTAGGTGGGACTATGGGGCAGGTCTGTGCACAGTAATTTAGATCTGCTTTTGTCAGAAATCTGCATGCATATCTTGAGTCCCTCACTCTGGGACTACTGCACATTGGTCCCATGTCTTGCATTGCTCCATTGCTGCCCTCCCTTTCTACAGCTCTTTGAATCCACCCTGCACTGTCCTTCCAGTTTCTTGTACTGCCCCGTGCCTGGCTCCACATGGAGCTCTGCCAAAGCACCAGTCCTGACCTGTAGCTGCTCCTGTATCTTTCCTGTCTGTCTTGTACCTGCCTTGGCTTTCTTGCCCAGTTCTGCTCATAGCCCTTGCTCTTGGGCTGTGGCACTCCCTGCTCATGGCATTGTATGCAAAGGAGTAGATTGGAGATCCTGAATGAGAAATCATTGGGTGGTGCCTTCATGGAGGAGCTTGTCTGGAATGAATTATGCAGGCTCCCAGCTTACCTTTTAGGGGGAACTGGGCGACTGCCCATGTCCTGGATAGCCAGCACTCTGGCAGCAATCCTTGTTTATAGAGACTTGGATAAACAAGTCTAAATAAAAAAAGGCTCTCTTTGTAAGGCCCAGTTGTCCAGGTGCTCACCTAGCCTTGTTGGGAGATGCTGGAAAGCTTGAAGGGTTTCAGCCTGCCCTGAGTTAGTTTGGTCTTAATGCTTGGATGGGAGGGTCTTTCTCTCTGCTGGGCCAAACACTGTTATTTGTTGCAGTTCCAATTCATTTCATTGCTGAGGCCCTTAAAGCACAGCAGACCAGTCAGGGTGTGTTTGCTCCAGCACGAAGGTGAATCTTCGAACAGCAGTGTTGTTTAAGTTCGGGGGAATTTGCATTCATTATCCCCATTTGCCTTGAGATCCTCAATTACCCATTTAGCAAGGAGTAAATCACTAACACATCACACAGCATCACATCGGTGTCTGCAAACATTTATGTTTCCATACCCTCTCTCAGGAGGCTCATGGAAAGGTAGATGTGCAGTCAAAGCTTCCACCCAAATTTTTCCTTCCCACTGGTATGCTGAGTGTGTTTCAGCAAAAAGCACCAAGAGACATCAACAGCAGTCATCTGGGCAGGTTTTGAGCTTGGGGCAAGCTATCATTAGGTCTTCCTCCCCAGTCTCTGCCTTAGCTCCCTGTCTGGAGTGAGTTGTCTGCTGAGGTCAAGCAGAATGAGGCCTGATGGAGAACTGCCTTGTGGGGTAAAGTCCATGGAGGTCTTAGGGCATTTTCACTCATTCCTGAATGCTTTGTGTTTCTGCTATCATGGTTGCACCTCAACTCACAGCTTAAGACACCTTGCCACACCAGGTGGAGTGGTGTGAATTTGGTTCTTCTCCCCAGGGCCCTCATTTGAGGAGGTGACATCGAGCCTCCTGAGCACAGGCCTTCAGCCTGATGGCAGGTGCTGCTGCATTGGAGAGGGGTGGGAAGGGCTGTCCCAGGGTTCCTCCTTTTCCCATAGTTTGTCGATGGTGCAGGAGCTTGTGTGAGTGACTTCACCTTTGTGCAGTTCTAGATATGCAGCAGACCTATGACATGTGGCTGAAGAAACACAATCCTGGGAAGCCTGGAGAGGGGACACCGCTCACCTCACGAGAAGGGGAGAAACAGATCCAGATGCCCACTGACTACGCTGACATCATGGTAATCAGCTGATCTCTTGCTTTCATCCTTCCTTCTCAGTACTGACAGCCTGCCCCTCTCCTGTGCTCCAGGTGTGAGCTAGCAGGGACTGCATTGCTGTTATGGGAAAGAGCCTGTGGCATTGTAGGTTAAATGGTCAGCTTGGAGCAGCACAGGTGAGGTGGGAAGAGATTGTCCTAGGGTCAGCAAGGCTCTGCAATGGCTTTTCTGTTAATCCTTGGGTCAGTAGGAGTCTACCTTAGGTTCCCTTTTGCGTGGGCTCAGCCTCTCCCCAGGGTTCCTGGCTGCTCCTGGGAAAACTGGCAAAGCTCTTGCTGGTCGGTCAGAAAAGAAGGAGAAACTTTGAGAAGAGCTGGCTCGGGAGCACAGAGGCCTGGGGAAACCAGAGGCAGATGTGTCTCCTCAGCCCAGGCGACTGATGGAAGGGATTGTCTCCTGCAGAGTCCTGCATTTCCTGTGCATCTGGGGACCTGGCAGTCAGACCCCACCTGGGCCATCAGCAAGGGCAGGGGATCCACATCAGTCAACTGTGCTGCCCTATTCTCTGAGTCTGTTTGGGCTGCAGGTAGACATGGACAGAGCATCTCATCTGCTCCCCCTTAGTGGCAGCACAATGCCCTAAAGATGACATGGCAGGGAGGTGCAGGAGGTCGTAGACTGAGTGGAGCTTCCAGGATGCTCTGGCAGGAGAGGAGGAGAGGCAGTGCCAGTACGGGGAAGGCCAGTGAGGGTGACTGTCAACGCACTGACTGGCCCTTTGCCCTGTCTGCACTGGTTAGATGGGCTACCACTGCTGGCTCTGCGGGAAGAACAGCAACAGCAAGAAGCAATGGCAGCAGCACATCCAGTCGGAGAAGCACAAGGAGAAGGTCTTCACCTCGGACAGTGACTCAAGCTGCTGGAGCTACCGCTTCCCCATGGGTGAATTCCGGCTCTGTGAAAGGTACTGTTGCCTCATCTACCTCCTGTGCTGCTGCTGCAGGGACGGGGCAACAGGCCCGGGGTCTCTGTCATCCTTCCCCCACCTTCATCACCTCCTCCTCTCACAGAGTCCCCAGGGACTTCTGCTTGGAGGAGGAGTGGGGTCACCTGACAGGATGGGATGATGATAAGGCTGCTGTTGGACCCCAGAGGTGCTCAGCCAGACTACTGACTGGTAAAAATACAGTCCCAAGCAAGTGTCTTTAGATAAGCTTCCTGTCTGTGCCCTCCATAGCAGCCAGGGTGTTCTCAACAGTTGGCTTGGCCTGATGCTTGGGGGAATCCCAGATGCTTTATTAAATGGTTTCAGTATCTCGCACCCTCTGAATCAGTGCCTTGAGGTATCTTCAGAAGGCTTGTGATGGTTAAAAATGCTGTTTTGGTTAGAGAGAAAGCTCTGTCTCCTGTGGCTGTTACCTGGCATTTCCTGTCTTGTGTGGTGGTTACTCCTCACCCCTGCTGGTCCAGTTCCAGCTCACATTGTTTCATTCTGTTGACTAAATCCCCTCGTAGAAACTGCTGTGTTCACTGCTCTGTTTCCATGCCCAGCCTCTGTGTCGCCTTCCTGGGCAGCAAGTGGGTTTGTAGGAGAATTGCTTTGTCCTTAGAAAGAAGAGTTCACAGCATGTTTCAGCAGGCCCTGATCGAGTATCCCAGCTGGGGAGCCCAGCCCCCTGTCCTGGGGTTGCCCTCCTGATGGTGCTCGTTGTGCCGGCAGGTTCCAGAAGAGCAAGGCCTGCCCCGAAGGAGAGGAGTGCCGCTTTGCCCACGGCCAGGACGAGCTGACCGAGTGGCTCGACCGGAGGGAAGTGCTGAAACAGAAACTGGCCAAAGCCCGCAAGGACATGCTGCTCTGCCCCAGGGACGACGACTTCGGGAAATACAACTTCCTATTGCGGGATGGCGTGTAGTAAGGAACGGGGGTGGGGAGCCTGTCGGCTGGAGAAACGCAGGGCGGGTTTTCCAAGAGTGGCAGTAGCAGGGAGAGTGAGATCTGTGTCTCGCAAAGAGAACTCTATATTTTCTTTCATTTTATGATTATGAGATGATGATTTATTAGTGGTGAATGAAATCATGAATTTGATTCTCCTTGGCCAGCGAACGCCATGCTCACTGAGTTTGTGATCTGTCTTTGCTCTCTTCTTTCCCCCTTCCTCTCCCATCTTTTTGTTTTCTATTATTCATTATATGTCTTTCTCAGTGTGCAACAGGTATTCAGGGTGCGTAGTTTGGTTCAGTTTTTTGGCTGGTGCAAATAAGACTGAAGGCATCTAGAAGGTGTATTTGGAGACTGTGACACACCCTGTGTCGCTGTACTCCATGCAGCAGTATCAAGTCAGGAAGAAGGCTGTAACCAAAAGAAGCCTGTGTGTCTGTGTCACCTTTTGTCCTAAAGAGAGGGAAGTATTAGGGTTCCCTTCTTCCTCTTTAAGTGGCTTGTGTTACTAGTTATTTAGAGCTGCATTTTTCTGTGCACTGCCAGAAGAACTGGGTGGGGACCCATTTAAAAGGAAACCACCAAGCAGCATGAATGATGTTTCCCTGATGGGAAGCCAGCTGAAAGGGCATTTAGGAGCACTGGAGGTTCAGCCCCCTCTTCCTTGGAGCTGGAGCAGGGAGCTTGTGGACACAGTGCAGCCAGGATGAGACACAGGGCAGGGACTGTGGTGGAGTGTGAGCAGCATGGTGGGACCCAGCCATGTGCCTGCTCCTGTCCCACCTAATGCGTGCCATGATGGGGAAACAGTGATCCTGAGCTCTGGGCCAGAATTTTTGGCTTTTATAGTGACAGCAGTGAGAGGCAGTACTGCTCTGTATGCCAACATTGTCCTTTCTGGTGGTCTCATCCTGTAGGCAGTAAACATGCTTAGATGATGAGATCTATAGATCTGCAGTGCTGTGGGGAGAACAAGTGACCAATGCAGTATCAGACTTGGCAGTTACTGGGTTGTCAGGTGCTGTATTTCCTCCTCTGCCCTTTACTGTAGCTGCCTGGATTGCACCTTCTCCTGGTGCTCCTTGTGCTGAGCTGGTCAACTTTATAAGCGGAGAGAGACAAGGGAGGAAGTAGGCATCAGCTCCTGAGTTTTGCACTGTTTGGGCAGAAACACCAAGGAAGCCAATCTGGATTTGGCACGTTGGAATGCCTTTTTATTTTTAAAACAAATCTGCATCTCTACTGTGACTCTAGCGTTCGCTGTGCCATGAATTCTCATATAACTTGCTTAGGTTACAGAGTGGATTGTTGTCCCCTCTCCCTGTCTCTGTGGGGAGAGGGCAAGCGTGCGTGAGGTGAGGGAGGCCCAGAGTCACGCGGGTTGCATCAAGTATCTCTTTTTGTTTTCCCTGATATGATAACCTGGTCTGTGGTGTTGCAGTACTTTGTCACCAGACTTGTTTTAGTGTGTATATATGTAACCCCTCCCATGAAGCATATATACACAGGTATTAAATATATCGCTCTATATAATATTATATGTGTGTGGTATCGAAAGAATCTTTTAAATGAGGGTAAAGGAAAAGGACTCAGGCCAGGAAACGCAGCATCTCCAGTTTTAATATGAAGACTTTTATTTGGGTTAGGGAAAGGGAAATAACAAAGAGGGGAGGGTTTAATATAGATAGTATAAATTTTGAGATGGGACAGGTTTCCATGTTCACATTTTTGAAACCTCCTGGGATGTCCTCGCAGTCCCATCTCAAGTGAAAGAGTATTATACTGCTAACTAGCAAGTAAAGTTTTAATGATAAGGCTTTGCTTATATTATTTAAAGGGACATTGTGAAAGGCAGGAAGCTTCTCACTTGACTTCCCAGGCTCACTTTATCAAGCCAAGAGAGTTTTCTTCAGCACGTTACGTACTCTTAGCACTCGCAGCTCTATGACAGATAAACCACAAGTTGTAGGGCTGCTTTAGTGGTGTGTTCAGAAGACCCTGTGATAACTCATGCTTTTCTTCATTGATGTGAGGGAAAAAGAAAATTTTGCAGCACAGAACCAAATCTGAAGATTATTAACAAAAGAGGTGATGTTTTAATTTTATAACATTAGAAGAAAATCTCATATCCTGTAAAATAACCATGCACACACAGAGTAGAGACTGATTCAGATCAGCTTGTTAAATGCAGAAGGACTTAGTGAAAACCTTTTTCCAAATCCTCAGGTAGGGGCAGGGATTTAAGTGATGCTGGTGTGGGAGTTAACCTGGCCTTTACAGGGGGAAGTAAAAAACCAAAAAATACCCTACTTAGTTTGTATGAAACTGTATGTCAAAAATGGATGGGTTTTAGCAAGTGAAAAGTAAAGACAGCAAGGGGATGCTGCAGTTCTGAGCTGGGTAGTAATGATTTTGAGTCCTTTAATATGTCTTTGTATTAATATAATTTAAGAATACCACGCTTTACTATTAAAAAATAACTTAGTATCTTTCATAAGGTTTAGTATCAGGATAATAATGTAGATGTTTTAACAACATTTTTGTTTTTGTTCTTAAATAAAACCAAACAACAAACCAAACCTGCTTCTTTTAGCCTTTGTAATAGAAAATAAAAGTGTGCACTTTAAACCCTCTCTTGCTCCAGAGTGTGTTTGCATTTTTTCAAATAGCCTGCAAAGGCTTTTTATTCTGGTTTCAGGTTCCCATGCTGTAAGGAGGGAAGCAAAGGGAGGACTCCAAGCATTGCACTTCTTTTCTTTCTGCCATTCTTAACTATTATCCACTGCTCTTCTTGCTGAGTGGAAAATTGCCTGTGTGTGTATTAACAACTCTGCAGTTCATCAGATGCAGAGTTCTGGTCAACTTAGGTGTGTTTAAGATTTTTTTGTTTCCCCAGATACCAAGGATCTATGCACTCTGCATTAACACATAGTTTCACATTCTTGGGTAACCTGTGTTTTGAAACCTCCAGTAATCAGGTCTTGTAATCGCCTTCATCTAGAGGTTGTTCCACTGTGTAGGCTGCTCTGTTCAGCTGGGTCAGCCAGTTCTTTTGCCTGCCAGTGTGCACCCTGCCAGGGAAAATGCCCTTAGCCCTGCCTGCCAAGTCGTGTCCCACTTGGGCCATGAGGAGCATCTGAGCGGTGAAGATCACTCCTGGAGGAAGAGGTCAGTGTGAAAACACTTACTAATAAAAACCTGTTTTCTTTGTTTTTCAAATCCATCATGGTGCAGGTTAATCTGGATTTCGATGAAGCCAAAACTGGAGATGCAGTGAAGACAAGGGAGTCCCATGGGGACAGCCTGCTACTGCTGTATAAACTGGTACAGTGACCAGAAGGTCATATCCAGTGAGACCTGAGGAGAGGAGATTTGTTATGCATCTCCATGATGTGCCTAGATACAAACTTATGTCCTGGTCAGAGGAAGGAAGGCCTGAATACAGGCCTTGCACTGCAGAGGGAATGAGGAGACTGGTGCACTTCTAAGGTACATCTATTGAGTATGTGCAACATGAGAGGCAGTAGTTTTACACTCCAAAGATTATTGAGGCCATGCTGGCAAGAGTGAAGGTAGCTTTTTCCAGTACAATGGAGACCAAAACTGTCAAATTGTGAGACAGACAAAGCATGAGGAGAAAAACAACAGTGTTTTACTTGCAGATATGAGCCTCAGCTGTAAACCTCTCCTCACTGGTTTTTCTTTATTGAAAAAAATAAACTTGCATTTTGGAGATGCAGGAAGAGGAGTGTTGATTTCAGTATTCAGATCCTCCTTGGAAGTACATCAGGTACAAAGACACAGAAGAGGGTCCCCAGGTCAGCCAGGAGGGATCCAGGTCCAATGGAGAATTTAGAGGAACAGGGGTAGAGACCCCTGAGAGGTGGGAGGAAGGCTTCCTATGAAAGACCTTTAAAGCTATCACACAGCTGCCTGGCAGAGGGAGTTTGCCTTGCAAAGCCTCGCAGGATGCAGATGAGATTCCCAAGCAATTCTGTGACTGAGTCTGCCCACACTATAGGGAGACGTTTCTGCGCAGTGACAGCAGATGATGCAAATGCTGTCATCACTCTTAATTGTTTGCTACAGTCGTTGCAACCAAGAAGGGGCTGTGTTGTATCGTGCCCCGTGCAAGGAGAGCAGCAGAGAGTTCCTGTGGGGGTGTGCAGGTCACTGTCTGGGGTGGAGGGCAGGAGGTGACACTAGAGAGCACCTGGGGGGGGAAAAACATTGGACAGAAAGCAGCATCCCAAATAGTTAAAGAGGGCTGGATAGGGGTGACTGGTGGTAGGTAAGCAGAGGAGGAGAGGCTACAGGAGCACTTGCTGGAGCAGTCATTTGGTGTGGGGCAGAGTAAGGTACTGAACAGGCTTGGTTGGATGTCTGTGGGGTGGCGCTGGGTAGAGGTACTGCGAACAGGTGGCTCCTGGGACAGCTTATGGAAAGCTGTGGACACAAATCAGGAGCTCGTCTGGCCTCACCCCTTTCTCCCCAGGATGGGAGGGGACAGGACAGGGCCCATCTGTTCACCATAAACCTCCCTTATTGGTTCCTGCTCTAGGCAGGAGGTGCAGGTCCCGGTACCCCCAGGGCAGGTCCTGAAAGCAGATGATCCAAGTGCAGCAAGGACAAGAGCAGGGATCAGAGGAGATAACAGGTCCTGCTGACTCCTTCCCCAGAACAGCAGTCCTGGTTCTGGCAGCTCCTGAGACTACCCCTTCCATGGGCACTCTTCTCAGCAGTTCAGCTTATGGATAGCAGGATCCCAGAAAGCTACTTTTTCCTGAGAGGTTTGGGAGGTACAGACATAGCAGAGAGTCCCAGGAAATAGAGGTACTTGTTACCATATGAATTAATCCTCCCAAAAATGCCATTTACCTAGGGCTGGGATGGAAATCTCTAAACCCAGATGCCAGAGTAGATTTGGCTTTCTTGGAACTGGAAAAATACCCAGGGCTGGAGGTGCTTTTTGGT